GGACACATAATACCTCACTTTAATCTTAACTTACCCTCTGCATCACCTTCTTGTTTCAATAACCAAGGTTCTACAGTGTGATAATGCACGAATGACTGAGCTTTTCTTTCTGTGCTGGTATCGGCTGGACACCGATCAACGTTGACAAGAAGCACAGGCTTCAACACAATAGGAGTGTCACGAGAGGCAACGAGCAGTAATCTCAGAACTTATGAAGAAGTTTGATTTGTGTGCTACGTACAGTACTCAAGTTTAAATACAAGACGTTGCGTGAAGAAAAGAAGTGGAGAGTTCCACCAGAGAAAGATATATAGCGGAAGGAAGCTTGTGTGACGTCATACAGATGTCGAGGCAGTAGCATACTGTCGAGGATAGTACATTGCGCTGTTGCGACAGGAGCGTACGGGTTAAGAGCAGGAGCGCATGGGTCAGAGGCAGGAGTGTCAAGGGGACCACGGTGGTTACCGTGACAAGGAGCGGTGGCTTGGGATCGCTACAGTCAAGCACGCTGGCATGCATATTGCAGCTTACACAGACGTATGGTGGTCCTGTGACTCACCAGATTGCAGGAGACAGCTACCGGTATGTACGGCCGCTCGCCTTGCAACGCATTGGCTGGTGTACCGGCCCAGCCGCAAGCCGCGACATGGATTTGTCTTCTTCTTTATTAGTTTTGGCTAACAGACTCCTCGAATCCACCAATCCCCTTGTGCAGCTTCCGTCACGTCGATGCAGGACGTTGCAGACTTTGCCTGAGTACGATGTGCTGGCTAGGAAGCCTCGAGAAAAGAGGGCTTGAGTTTCGCGATGATCCAGGAGCAGGCTTGCGTGGGCTGGGTTAAGCGGGAGAACTCGTCATCCTCTGGGGAACCATAGGTGAGCACGGATTTGGTTAAGTTTGTTATGAGTTGTCGTGGGAGAGAGCCGGGTTTGGTGAGCGAAATGACCTCGGTCAGGGCTTGTTCAGGGACACGAAAGCGATTTTTATTGATTCGGAAGAACATGTTTACCTTCTAAGACCAGGACTTCCAAAGGGTTAGGGTGCCGTCGAAGAGAAAGGGTCGGTTGGGTTCAAGCCATGTGTCGCCAGAGGGTGGTGGTGGAGCCCGGAATTCAGGGTCGCCAGGCAGGGGTTCGGGGTTATAGATTTCGTTGAGAAAATCCATGGGAGTGGAGAGCGAGAGGGTTTTTGGGTTGGGTTTATTAGGTAGAATGGGCGGGGCTAGGTTAGGAGGGGCAAAGGGGTCGAGGCCGGGCGGAGGGTAGTGACGTGGGATGTCCTGGGTAATTCCCGAAGTTGAAATTATTAGGGTCCCGGAGTCGGAGCGGGGTTATTTCCCTTTCGAGGACGAGGGTTGTGCCATGTTGGCAGCCTAAAAGGCAGGGCTCTCGCGTAGGAACTGGAAGTGTTCTGCATGAGTGAGGCGGATGGGGGTGCGGACTCACTTCCGCAACAAACATACATGAATCAAATATTTGATTTGTGTTG